TGACTTAAAGTTTATCGAAATTGGATATTGTCATCGGGTAGTGACGTATTAATTGTAGATGTTTATTTGGCTTAAGCAAGTGATAGTACCACTATTACTAGTCGGTTTACATCCATAAAAGAATATTTGAATCAATTGTTCGGAATCTCAACCAAGGCTTATTCGGGATTTGGCAAGTTCATTCGTAAGTCTCGGACGTCGATAATGATTGGGGAGAAGGTCGTTACATGCACATTATAGCATCTATAATAAATGTACAATATCTTGTACCCACACTAGTCCCAAAACTAGAGTAATCGAGTGGACTTCAAACATAAGGTGCTTGTTCCTTTTTGTTGAAAACTAATACATGGTAGAGTATTTACCTACATAATAGATTTGTAAACAATTTGATAACCATTGTATCAATCATATCACAATCACTAAGAATTTATTTTTCTTACAAAATCATTTTTCATTTTTGAAATTCAAATCCTTTGATAAACCATTTTAGAGATATCATTTCAACATGCATAAATAATCCTTTTCATAGAAATCATGATAGCTTTACAAATCAAAATAATTTGAAAGTGGTGTATTTACTCACCTAGTTAGAGATTTGATTCCTAGCTTCAATCACAACTCTGTTTCGATAAAATCCATGGAGTTTTCAAGTATTCCTATCATACAACAATCATTGCTTAGAATAAAAATCTTGTGATAATCATTCTAGGTACTTTTGAAACTACTTACTTTTAGTTAAACTAATTTTCTAGCTAAAACCCATCCTTAGAAACCTATAAATATTTCATCCTTACATTAGGTGAGCTTTGATGCTAAGGAAAATAACAAAATCTTTCAGCTTTAGTGTTCAATAAAAAATCTAGGCATAAAAATAATATTTTTAGTGTTGAAAAATTCATAAATAAAGATGTAAAACTTGAAAGATGTCACCTTTGTTTGAAAAATCCAAAACCAAGCTTCCAATTTTTCAAAATAATGATTTGGGGTGAAAGTGGGTTTAAGAAAGCTTAAAGTTGTTGAAAAATTGATGGGAGACGGCTTAGAATGAAACCCCTTGGAGTTAAGGTTATATTTGTACTATGGGATGTGAAAATACCTTTTTACCACTTTTATTTTTTCAAAAATCTATGAAACGTATCGATACATTTGGCAATATATCAATACTTTTTGGTTCTAGAAAACTTGTATCGATACATGACTATATGTATCAATACATCATGAACACATATTGATACATTCAAAATAAAATGTAATTTCTAAGACAAATTACCTATAAAACTACCCTGCTTATTTACATAAAATAAAACCAGCCTAGCTTATTTACATTAAATAAGTACATGTCCTTATTTTTACTTCTTTCCTTTTTACTCTTAATTTACTTAAGATATTTAATGTAAATAAGTAAATATCCCCCATTTAGATTCAATAAAAATATAAAAAAAATCAAAGTCTTAAAGAATCAAAATCTAAATTTTGGTTTTAAGAACAAAATTGAAAAAGTTTGACTAAAATTAAATTTGCGGTTCCCATTTACCATAGCAAACATATTCCAAAACTTATGAAAAATTCATACTTGGTCATCTAAACATCAAAGGAATCATTATCGCCATTTTTTACTTCCAAAAGATTATTCTATAAAAATCTCATATTTTGACCATTTCTAGACAAAAAACATTTTCTGCTTCAAATGTGACAGATAACCAAAAGCGTCAATGGATTCTTTGGAAGATTAAAACTGAGTTTGATGTTTAAAATATGTAATCTATATGCTCACTTAAGGATTTTCTAACTTATCCTCTTACTCAAGGTGGGATTTCATATCAGCACAGCAAATATGCATTGCTTGGTGGGATGATAATGCCCTGTGTACAGCCTTATGCACATACATCTCAAATGCTTCTTTCTTGTCTCTATGCAGTGATATTTTTGTTTTTGTTTCTTGCTTTGTTTCCCCTTACATGAAATCCCTTTCACCCACTTGGAATCCCTTGTAAAAGGGTTTCAATGGATTTATAATAAAGAAAGATATATAATGCACGTTAAATATTTAAAAGATTTCAAATGTTATGTGTGGAATAGTTATACTACATAATATTGTTCCTTGTGTGTCTAGTGAGATTTACTCAGCTTGTACACCTAAAGCAATTACTTGCACATGGTAAAAATGCAAGCTACCTACACATGGTATGCTATTGGGCATGGTAAGCTTGCGTGTGATGAGTGGCAAATTTAGGTGTGGTGAACGTGAGTGGAAAGCTTGTGCATGGCAAAAGGAGAGCAACAAGCTTGGCTAACGGCAAGTGACAAGCTTGGTGAGTAGCAAGCTTGTACATGACCAAAGGCAGACAACAAGCTTGTGCGTGGCAAGGGGTGAGCAATAAGTTAGTGCACAACAAGAGGTGAATGACAAGCACAACAAGATATTAGGTTTAAAAAATCATTAAAAAAGACTTTGACTAGATGTTCTAGCTTTGGAGTATTTGTATTGTTAGAGTGTAGATTTCATCTTTATTGTTGGAAAAGGCTTCAGTGTTTGCAAATACTTCATGGACAAGTATTTCTCTAGAAAAATTAAAACTGATGTTGCAGCTCATGGATGATGCTCGTAAAGCTAGATTCAAGCTTGATTTCCTTAATGAATATATGTCTAAAGCGTAAGCCTTTTTCTATGCTGATTAAAAAACCTCAAAAAAAAAAAAAAGACAAGTTGAGTTGGAAAAAGTCCTAGCAAAGAATGTTTCACTATAAGATTGTGAAGTGAAACTGCAATAAGAATTAGATGCCTTTCCTACACTAGAAATAACGACCATTCTCCATGAAACTCCATAGTTGACTAGACCTTTACTTACTTTGTTGTTGCTTTTACTAATTCTTTTATTAGCTTTATAGGCTCATCTGAGGACAAAAAACACTTTGTATTATTAACTGCAACAGAAAGGGAACTCTAAACTTTATATCAAAGAGGTTACTTGTTAACCTAACATGAATGAGATTAGTTCAACCCTTTAAATAAGCATAAAAGTTGTAGTCATGAATAGCAAGCTATAGCCAAAACATGAGCAACAAAGTTGTTGCCAATAGTAGTATATCGAATTGTAGTCAAAGTATGAACAATAAAGTTACGGTTGAATTATAAGTGATAAACTATGGTAAAAAATAAGTGATAAAACTTACAATCTATATCATAATATCATTGTAACCAAAGTATGAGTGATAAAGCAATGACTAAAATATGAATTAGTGAACGATAAAGCTTATGGCCAATAGTATAAAATCATTACAACCAAAGCATTAGTGATAAAGTTGTAGTTGAAATGTGAATTTATTTTCTTTGCAAGTGTCAAATTTCAATACATAAAGTAATTAAGAGTCAAGGTCATAGAAGTATCATACATGAGCAAGAAACAGGTTATTTTAGACTTTGTTTTTTCAATCAGTAACTCTCCTACTTGCATCTTTAATTGGAATATTTTATGCAAGTCTCTACATTTAATAAGAGAATGACAAATTGTTTAGAGATGATCACAATACCTTTGGTTGTGCTTCTCTTTGTTGTTAATGGTTGCAAAATGCAAGGCATGTTGATCTTGTTGGGATGGGCCCTGCAGTTAATTGAGATTGGTTAAAACTTGGTTCCAATCATGCAACGATATCATTCATATTGAATGATTGGATGTTTTTCTTCATCAATAAGATATTAATTATAATGAGTTATAAGTCTAACTGGATGGAGTCTATGAGATTAATATGCTTTGCAAGAGAATTGTAATGAAATGCAGTTATAAGATTCTTATGCATCAAAGCATAATCTCAAAATGTTCATGGTCAATGTATTATTAAGACTGGACATCAATGATGCTTAGAGACTGGTACATTTTATGTTCTTTACTTTGGAAGTAAATAATTGATTTCATAGATTGAAGTGTAGAGATACTTTGAATTAGAATATAAGTGATTGCTTAGGAGAGCAAGTTCACTGAACATGACCCGCCATGAGAAGTGCATTGGGTAATACACTCCAATGTTTATGCAACACTTCTCATGTGCCAGTCGTGTAAATGGTCCCTAGACTTAAGACACCAGGCTATCTTACATGTGGTATGCAATGCTTTAATTTCATCCTTACGGGTTGTTTGTTAAAATTCCACTACGCAAGTATACGTATCGAATAGATAGTATATTAGTAAGCAGAGTGTCGATCCCACAGAGAATTAATCTAAAATTTTACTAAGTGCTAAAATTAAAACAATTAATCTTATCCAAACACCCAAAATTAATTGATTAACTAAAACTAATTAATTAAAATTTGAATTAATAGGAAAAATCAAAATAATAATAACTTGAATAAATATCAATCAAACAAGCCTAGGATGACAATATCCGTCACACTTTATCTAAACCGTACCTCTTACTTAACTTATTTCAATAGTTTGAATTGCTAACCTAGAGTCCTAAATTATTTATAAAGGTCTCCCGACTCATCTTATACAAATATCTATTTTAATCAAAACACTATATCCCTATGTGAATTGAAATTAAAATAGATTCATTAAGTTAAGACTTTAATTTGGCTACATATGGCCTATAGATATATCCCTATTCTATACACAAATCAAGTAATATGATCATATGCTATCTCAATTTTAGTCTACACT